GATTCCGGGCATGTCAATGAACAGGTTTGCATTGCTGAAAAATGAAGACTCTTCTTTACACACTGCCTTGATCATAGACCCCAAGGATCCAAGAGCTGAACTTCTGAACTGCCCACCTTGCAGGAACTAGAACAAACAAACAGAAAAACAGATGAATCACAGTTGCTTTTAGCAGCTTCAGGGAGTAGCCCTGGTGTTATCTCAATATTGGCACCCAAGGAGACTGACAAAACTAGACTGCTGAAACTGCCTACGAGAAATAGGGCCTGCTGTGCTCTTTTTGGTTCTCCTGACCACCTTTGCCAAGAGGGAAAAAACTGCCAGGATACTTGATGAAAGACAGTAGTATGATGTACCAGATTAAACTTTGAAAAACTGTGTATCTTTTAGGCAGAAAAGGAATGAAAATATCAAGGCAACTGGACTACAGATTCCTTGATTACAATGCCAGTTTTCACAAAGTCTGCTCTTCCAACAGATTACTCCTGTGTCACAAACACAGCAGAAACAACCAAAGTCATTTTGCATATGAATGTTTGCAGTGGAAACTGTTGCTAAGACGAAAAATAATATTCAAGTGCATGTGCCTTAAAAGCCTGTTTTTCAAGTACATCTTTTAACTTCTGAGATGTGCTTCTAGCTTTTGCACATCTTGAGTCAAATTAGCATTTATTATTTCTGTTTGCTCATGACTAGCACATGCCTAATGAAGAGAGCAATCTCACTGCTTTTATGGCTTAAGCACCATCATTCACCACATTCAAAAAAAAAAAAAAAAAAAAAAAAAACATGAAAAACAGCCTCCTCTGTGTAGCTTCATTTTTCAGATAACACTCTCAGTTGTAGTGGTATCTCACAGAAGGCTGTACAGGTGCGCAGTTCTAAGAGAGGATACAAGTGCAAGGCAATGTGCTGCTAGAGGATAACTGAAGGATGCATTGGCCCACCTGATACTCATTACTGTTGCAGATGGTTTTTAAGAAAAACATAACTAGACTATCAGATATCATTTGAAGACTGCACAACTGGCAAGTAGAAAAAAAGATTGTGATATGTCAACCAAATACATCTGACACTGAAAGAAAAAATTTTATCCATTTTTATCATTGGATTTATTTTTTTAAACAGAAGAATCAATTTTCAAAGTAGTACATCACTTTAAATAAAGAATAAATCACAGACAGTTTATAGATTGTGCTGTTAGAAACAGTTTATCCTGATCAATGCATTTACTGAAGTGCCAGGTGCTTCTTTAGTAATCCTGGAGGAATATTAGAAATTGTTATTTAAACCTCAGTGTTGGCTGCTCCCAAAAATCGGACTTCTTGCATATGGTTTCCGCATAGAGCATAATAAATAAATAATACCTAGATTTCATAATACCATCATCTACAGTTCTTTATTAAATCTGTTGGCATGGACTTCTTCATCAACAACCTGGATGAAGAGTTAGAGTGTACCCTCAGCAAGTTTGCTGATGACACCAAACTGGGAGGTGTGGAAGATACACCAGAAGGCTGTGCTGCCATTCAGCGTGACCTGGACAGGCTGGAAAGTTGGGCAGAGAGGAACCTGATGAGGTTCAACAAAGGCAAATGCAGGGTCCTGCACCTGGGGAGGAACAACCCCATGCACCAGTACAGGCTTGGGGCACACATGCTGGAGAGCAGCTCTGTGGAGAGGAACCTGGGTCTCCTGGTGGACGACAGGTTGACCATGAGCCAGCAGTGTGCCCTGGCTGCCAAGAAGGCCAATGGGATCCTGGGATGCATCAAGAAGAGTGTGGCCAGCCGGGCGC